TGTACAGTTGTGATACATAGTTATATATAGACAAAATGTAACGGGTCTTCCATGTACACCGTCTTCATGCAAAAGGATCTTCGGGTACCTGTTCTAATGCTGACCTGAGAACACAGCGATTTGAAAATCAGCATAAAGCTGGTGAGTTCATAAGCGGTTTTGTTTTACAAAATGTATCGGTTTCCTCTCTGTTTCTGAAATGTTATGTACACCAAGAAAATCCCGTATTTTCTTAAAGTTGGTTATTGTTTCACAATTGTAAAGTATAGTAAGTTTGTACACTGAAAACATGTTTACTCATGTGAAAATGTATAGTTGGTTATCTGACTGGTTGAAATGTTCTGTTTACTTATCATGTGTTACCAGGAAAGTCCCATACTTTCCTTATTGTGTGTTACAAATTGTAAAAGATGTAATGTTATCCATTCTGTGGCTCTTTCTAGTTATAAAGTGTTACCCAGGAAAAGCCCCATGCTTTCCTGCATGTATGTATCTTATGTAAACGATGTATAAAGTAATCCATTATTACTGTAAGTAAATCTATGTTATCCTAATTGCGAGTTCCATAACCATACAATAGACTGAAACTGTGGCAATAAGTAGTCCACATGTGGCAATAAGTCGTCCACATACTTATGACTTTCGTCACCCTTGAACCATTTCGGTTCGGCTGTAGCTAGCAGCCAGGTGTGGGGTAGTCAGCCCCGTATAGATCTATACACTCAAGTCACGCTCTCTAAATACCAGAGATTCTGGTTATGGTGTAGTCCTCCATCGCGTAATCCAGGTGGAGTGTTCTCCGAGGATGTGTCTCCAATTGTATCGGAATAACAAATTTACTAGTAATAATATGAAAGTCCTCCACTCGCGTATGTGCGTGGAGTGTTACCGAGGACAAAACAGTGTATAGGTATTATATTCAAATGCTTTAATGTCATGCTTTTAACTGATAAAATGTGGAAAACCATTTGTGAAATACATGTAAAACATACTAGTTTAAAGACTTATTTCACAAATATATGTTACGTGATCTGTATATTCGATCTGTTATCAGTTGTAGTTATCAGTTATAAAAGCATAAGAATATGAAGCAAATATTTGAAAACATGTTATGAGTACAAGAATTCCCTTGTACTTTGCTTGTGTTCCCCCCTGAAAACAGTGAAAACAGTGAAAAAGGGTAGGGGTATGAACTCACCGGACTCGGAAACGCGTCAGTTTTGAATGCTAGACGTCGGTTCGGGGTTTGATTACTCGCGATGACCCTATGTAAAATGATATAATGTCCATATATATACAATTAGAGATACATTCACTCATCATATGGAACATTAACACTCCAATGAGGTTAAACACCTCAAAACAAGCGTTCGGAGTGACCCGGGTGACATCTTCGGATTTGTAATGACACAAGGGACTTGGGACTTGAGTTTACTCCCCATAAGTAAACATTTTAAAGAGTTTACAACAATGGAACACTCACATACATGAGTTTACGGCCGTAAACTCATGTGGGTGAGGTTTTGGTGTTTTAAGGGCTCAATTGGACTTAGGGATTGCTAGGAATGATTATCTAAACACCTTGGAACACTTGAAATGGATTTAAGATACTTAAAACATGAGTTTACGGCCACACTCATGAGTTTACGGCCGTAAACCCACCAAGGCTAAGAAAAATTGATTTGAGTCATTAGGGCAATCACATGTGATTCAAACTAATTTTCTAAGCATTGTTATGAATTTAGAGCATCAATTAAGACATTCATTGGAGTTTACGGCCTAGAGGAATGTTCTAAGGCCGTAAACTCTCCTTTACCACAAAAAGAATAGTTTTTGGTGCTTAAAACAATCACATGTGATTCTAGAAATTTATACAAGCCACTTGGGTGTGTTTGATGCATCTTTAACATTGTTTTATGAGTTTACGGCCAAGGATATGTTCCTAGGCCGTAAACTCCCACAAATCATACTTTTGATGTGTTCCAATCCTTTAAACCATTTTTAGATGCATCTAGATTTTACCACAAAGCCATAGATTGAGTTTGGAAGCATTTGGACATGTATAAAGGCCTTAATTCACCCTTTTAGAGGAGTTTACGGCCTAAGAGAGTGTCTTGGCTGTAAACTCTTCTTTGTTACACAAAATTCAAGTTTAAAGTGTTCCAAGTCTAGATTAGCAAGTCCAAGGTTTATGTCTAAGTCCCAACTAGGTTTGGAAGGGTTAAATGGCTTAAATACCCCATGTATATGAGTTTACGGCCCAAGAGAGTTCCTTGGCCGTAAACTCACTTTTTTCCTTCTAACTCCATGTTCTACATGTTATAGTTCATCCCTTTAAGCCCTTAAGCCATATCTAGTGTCCAACTATGCAAAGGAAGGGTTTTAGGGCTTAATAACCCTTGAAATGTGAGTTTACGGCCCATGAAGGTTCCATGGCCGTAAACTCATGAATGTTGGTCTAATTCATGTCTTAAACTCGAAATTTGGATGCCAAATATGTTATAGATTAAGGCTAGGAAGGTACCTTAGAGATTAGAAGTTTTAATTTTGAGTTTTGATCTCTTAAACTTGGATTAGGAGAGAGGTGGGTAATGTTTAGTGATAATTTGACCAAAGGCTTCAAATGAAGTCCTAAACATGTTTATATAGTGTTTAGGTTTTGGACACGGTGGAATTCTACCCGATACCGGCGTTAGACGGGGTTTTTGGTCGTACCCGATTGAGTTACCGTAACCCGATACGGTAAATTTTAGAATTATTCCGACCACTAAAGTTGAGTGTTAAAATGATTTCTAAATGTATTAAAACACCCATTAAGTCATCTTAAATGTGTACTAATTAATGACTTAATTAAACGGAAGATCGGAAATCGAAATCGGAACGACGATCGGTTGCGAGAAAGAGTTACATTAAAATGAAGCGGAAATTTCGGGTTGTTACACATTAAGACTCCATTAAAGCTTCCTAGCTTCAAAGCTTCATGGTTACTCAGTCATAGCTTCCTACTTTCTGACTTTCTGGACCTTACAAGGTCCAAATCTATAGAATGGCTCGCAAAGGGGGTTTGATGTACCCAAACCCCATCAAAAAGGTGATACAAGTCGTAATTTCACAACCAAGGATTCTAATCAAACAACAAAGAAGGTAAGAGCTTATACCTAGATCTGAAGCCTGAAATGGAGATGAAACAGATCCACAAGCTCTCCTCCTTGATCCTTGAAGCACCTTGCCCTTCTTCTTAGGAGAATGACTTCAAATGAGCGTCCTTCCCTCTCTTTCTCACAATAAACGCTAGGGTTTCTCTCAGGGGTCGAATGGGCACTGATGGGGATGATATGGAGGCTATAAATGCCTTAAAATAGGCCCAGGCCTGAGAAAAATAGGGTTTCCGTCAACAACGCTAACGCCTCGAGTCGGCTCATCGACTCGTCGAGTCCACTCATTAATCCTTGTCACCAGTCGCGACCCTACTCGACAAGTTGAGGCACCAACTCGTTGAGTCCCTTCAAAATTCTGAAAATAAATGATTAAAATAATATATATGGAAATCTGGATGTTACATCCTTTAATGTGATGATTGTTACATGTAAATATTAACACAATAATATTGTGTTCAACTTGTATTCCCCCCTTAAAATCATTTTAAAACATTTAAATGATAGATTATAGGGGTATGAACTCACCTTATGTGGGCAATTCAATTGAAGATTTGAGTAAGGATGATAACTTCCACGAATGAAGTTTTGAGACACAAACGAGTCCTAAATGACATATATTGATACATATATGTATATAATTAGTGTATATAACAATTAACTTGTAAGGGAAACAACCTTAGGGACTAGGAAACACTTGCAATGAAGTTTTACAATCACATGTGATTGATTGAAGGGAGTTCACGGCCATATCATGATCCTATGAAGGGTTCACAACCGTGAACTCTTGAAATATCATGCTTAGAAGGTGTTTGTTTCATGGGGATTCAAGAGATTCTAATGGACAACAAGTATATGGATAGGATACCTACTAATTGGAAGCCTTTACGGAGTTTACGGCCCAAGAGCAAGTGTGTGTATTCTTGGTGGAAAGGATGGTGATTTGAAGATCTTGAAGGAAAAGAGATGAATCACTATGGAATCAAAGGGATTTCAAGTGTACATAAGTAAAGGGATGATACACTTACAATTTTGGAGTGAAATGAGAGTTTTTATTGGATGTAACTTGAGAGAGAAAGGGTAGTTCACGGCCAAGAGGAGAAGAAGTGAAGGAAAAATGGCAAAAACCCATATATATATATATATATATATATATATATATATATATATATATATATATATATATATATATATGCTAAGGGTTCACGACCTAAGAGAGGTTCACGACCACACATGGGTTTACGGTCGTGAACACTCTTTGATGGGTTTCCTGGTTTGATTTCATTCCTCTAATACTAAGCTAACACTTTTCAACATCCAATCCATAAGTTTACTGGCCCTAGAATTCATTGAAATGACCTTTAACAAGGCTAAAAGGCAATAGAAATAAGTCTGAATTTTGGTTGATTGGATTGACTTTACAAGGTAGGAATTTACGGGTTGTCACAAATAACTACAAATATGTATTTTATATCAGATGTGCATACACATATACGATTGACATAAAAACTCAGTCTCACCTTCTAGTATAATCTGCTTCTAAGATAACCTACGAGTCCTTTAAACTGGAGAATATAATACACATTAAAGACTTTTAATTTATTATAATAGAATGTAATCCTAAAATTGAAATGAAAAAAAGATGGGGTCCTATAGGCATTTCATCGAACACTTAGAAGGTAGAAAAATTATGCAAAAATTTTGACGAAATTTACATGGTGCTTTATTGCTGGAATACCAAAGAGTTTTGCAACATTATCATAAAAATAATCTAACTATCATATCATATCCATCATGAAAATTATCTTCTACAAACTTTATGGAGAATTCATTCATTCAAATGATTCAAGATCGAGAAACAAAAATGTGCTGACAAGTTTTCAGTATACTTCCCCTGCCCCTTTTCTCCTTAGATATTCCCATATGCAAGTCTTCTCCTTGTTCTTGTTCCTGTGCTTCAAAATGATCAACATCATCAAGTGGATTTTCATACTGATCATGGGTCCTGGCATACCTTTCAGATACATATGAAGATCTTCTGATTGAAAAAGCTCTTGTCACTGCTGTCTGCAATGCTCTTCCTATACTGTTCTGTTTCTCGATCTTGAATCTGCTACTAGAAGTGCTTGTACCGTTTCCATTAGCAGTATTAACGGTGGTTTTTGGATGAATGAACTCTTTCATTCACCCCGGGTCAAAGCCAATGAAGCCGAGCACATTAGCGGTGTTTTTTTTTAGTGAAAGGGGTTTGAGGATATTGGAGGTTTCTAAGTACTCGGTTGGAATTTGCTAATGGAAGAAGATATAAATTGAGTGAGTGAGTGTTTGGAATTGTTAAGAATTGAATAAATTGAAAGAGGAGGTCGGCGAAGAGAGGAAGTGGGCTATATTAGTTTATACACCCTAAAAAACCATGGTTGATGATAAACGCGTTTGACCACACACATACTCGTTGATATAAGACAGGATATAAGAAAGATACTAGGTCAAATATATTTATTCAATTTCCTTAATTGCAGGATTTCAATTAAATGATTCCTTAACTAAAAGTATAAAAGGTCTAAAATATACTTAAATGATTTATTTAATTATTTATTATTTCTTGAATTTTCATTGGTGCATTTAGGAACACAATAGTTGTTAGAAACATTTGAACCTAGCTCCCTCCCTCTCTCTCTCTCTCTCTCTCTCTATATATATATATATATATATATATATATATATATATATATATATATATATATGCCTAGGTTATTTTGTTTCTTACATCTATTGTGTGCTCGTAAGCACAATTCTTGACCAATGGATGAATAAAATCAATGGTCATGATATGAGGGTATATGATATTACAATAGGGTAACATGTACCATATAATCACACAAATTTCAGCAGAAGGGTGTTTTGGTCAATTAACCTATATTAAAAAAGGAAATTTTTGGATTTTAAGGGGTGATTTTTTTTTTTAAATCTAAATTTTTTAAATTAATTCAAATTTAATTCTATTATAATTTCTAAGACTAACCGCTTTTATTCTGTTAGAATGACAGAGAGTCAAACATAAACTAGTAAATATATTTTCGATTTTATTATTGTAAAATATGGTTCAATCAATATAGTTTTTATAGTTAACATGCTTAAAGAATTATATAACATATTATCAAGAAAAACATTTTCTAAAGAATACAGATTTTATTTTTTAAGAATCACTAATTACATTAATTCGTAAAAAATAAGACTTACATGTATTTTTGAAGATTAAAACTAAGAATGGTTAAAAAAATAAAAATAAAAACATCAAAATCTAACAAAAGCACTAGTCCATTCTAAAAGAATATTATTGTTAAGAAACACTTTATATATTTTGCTAGAATACTATTGTTCTCCGTGTTTTCTTCTTTTTCCATATCAATGACAACATCTTCATAACATATATCCACAAAGAAAACATAATCAACTTTAAAATATTAAAACTTTTAGTGTATTCTAAAAGAATAAAACTATAAATTCTAATAGAATGTGTTAGACATTAAAAACTTTTAATTTATTCTAACACAATGTAATACTCGAGTCACTTGATCAAGTATTCCCCGAGTCACTTGATCTAAATAATCGACTTAATCTAATTACAATGATTCTAGATCCTAGATTGTAGCTAACACAGAGGAAAATATGTTGGAAAATGTCATATTATTACAAGAAAGAATGTGGGAAATATGACAGTTGTCACACCCCAAAACCATTGAACGACGAAAACGTTCTGGGGCGGAGGATGTCATGTACAATATCACAACAATGAAAAGTAGTAAACAAGCAACAACATCATCCATTGCATTAATAATATAATTTTAATACAAGTGTGTTCTGTCAAATTATAATAGACACTAAAGTATAAATCAAAATGAAAGATGAGTCTTGAACGAGCACCATCTTCTCTAAGCCTTGCATCGGTACCTGTCTATGGTTGACCTGAGGATACAAGTTATTTTGAAAATGAGTATCAGCTTTAAAGCTGGTGAGATCATAAGCATTTTAGTGTCTTAATTTGTATGTAAGTACTTGTATGTATTTGAAATGTATGTATTTGTACGAATGAACTGTAAGTATTTGTATGTAATGAACTGTAAGTATTCATATGTAAATGAACATCCTAGAAAACCATATGTTTCCTACTAACTGTATCCTTCTACCAAGGCATCTAGTATCCATGTGTCTGTCTCTTGTAAGAGTGTGTATTTTCCCAAATCTGACTATCATTAACCAAAAATATAGTTTCTACACTACTGTGCATCGTGTGAAGGTTCACAAAGTGAATGTAATGGGAAAATGAAATAGTACTATGGTGTAGTATCAAATAACTACAACCGTACTAGCTACCTTAAGTCTATTGAAATCTTGAAAGTACTGTAGTATTTGTAATAAATGACTACCGCTGTACTAACTATCTTAAAACAAAAAGGTATTCAATATAACATGTGATCGACCTGTATCCTGCTACCGACTGTAGTAAAAAGACGATGTAAGACGCCGTAAGAAATGACATTTAACACCAGTAGACTTGCAAGTCCCACTGTAGCGAGCAGCATGGTGTAGGATAGTCAATCTAGTATAGATCTATACGCAAAATCATACGCTCCCCAATTAAGGAGATTCGGGATACAAGCGCGGTCATGGCAGGAAGTGCCATGACCCGCCCAATGGTTCACATAACTGCATAAATGTATGTGTAATGAATGTGCTAACTGAAAGTGTAATCTTTCTCGTCTAGCCTATATGTACTGAAATGTTCTGCCCGTGCTAGGTATAATGTATGTTCTCTCTTTCTAGCATGTATAGTAATGTACTGTGTGTACTAGCTGTAATGTATGTTCTCTCTATCTAGCATGTATAGTATTGTACTATGTGTACTAGCTATAATGTATGTTCTCTCTCTATCTAGCAAGTATTGACTCATGAATGAACTGACTCATTGTATAATGTCGTGTACTAGTAATAGTTCTAGTATTTTCCTGAACTACCCCTATGGTAGCTTACTAGTAATGTAACTGGTACATATGAAGATGGATGTATACCCTTGCTACCCAAGGGTATTGAATGAACTGGACGAACCTTTATGACTATATATGTACACATGATATATAACTAATATTTAAACGATCTTCGGACGGGTACCCGATATCCCACCAGACCACATCTCAAGCGCGAAAAGGAAATAGGGTGGATAGCCTTCCTAAGTCTTTTAAACATTTCTTATATAACTATACATATATAGGCATGCAATTTATATTATAAAAGCATAAAATAAGTTTTGTTAAACCTTTTGAACATGATTACTATCTAAGAAAAGATCGACTTGATGTCAATCTATAAAACGGGTTGGAGGTATTTATCTAACAAAATAGTTTTAAATACAAAGAAACATTTGTTTGAAACACAATTGTAAATGAGTTTGAATTGAAACATATAGTGTATAATGAACAATTAAATCAGGAGTTTTAAACATATAAAACATATATGAAAATCCTTTGAATAACAACTGTTTGGTAAAACAGCTAATGTGTAGTAAATCATTTGATTGCTGCTTATTAATCACATGTGATTTAGTATAACAACTAGCATGATCCTACTTGTATTCCCCCCCCCCCCATAAAATATTTAAAAACATTTAAAACATTGATTAAGGGGGTATGAACTCACCTGTTGTGGGTGATACAGATGAACCGAAGATGTAGGACTGCTAGGTGTCAAGTGAAGTCTAGAACACACTCTATGATCCTAGTTAACATATAATATCACATATTTGTAACAAATTAGTCTATAAACAACTAATAAACAAGTCAAGACACCCTAGGACATGCTAAACACCTTTATCAAGTGTTATTAGGCTTTAGGATTGCATCTAAGTGTTTGTAGGGAAAAGCTATTGTGTGTAGGGATCAAGGGAAACTCCCTAATGGAGTTCATGACCCTAATGTCACCAATTAATGAGTTTACGGTCTTAAACTCTTGAGTTTACGGCCGTAAGCTCATACTTACTTAGCCAATTGATGTTTGAGGCTCTATAAGACCCTAAGAAGCAATTCTACTTAATGGCTTGGTCTTTGGAAGATTTTAGGGCATTATATAACTCCTTTTGGGAGTTCACGGCCCTGAGACCAAATCCCGTGGAGATTACGGCCGTAATATCCCTTGGATGGGTGTTTTTGGTGTTTTCAAGTCCCTAAATTAAGTAGGAACTTAACTAGGCTAGTGTACAAGGCTTTAGAAGAGTTTATAGCACCATTTGGCACAATTATTTGTAGTTCACGGCCCTTGGACTTCTTGGGTTGTGAACACCTTACTCTTGGTGTTATAAGGGTGTTTTCTAGCCCTAAACTCATTAGGGTACATGTCTAAAATAGTCTCTTGGCTTAAGGAAGGCTTTGGGGGTGTTTTGGCACCTAAAAATGGAGTTCACGGCCCAAGAACATCCTTGTCCATGAACTCACTTCTAGCCTTTGTGTCTTAATGATTTTGTGGTCTAAAAATGTCATTGTAGTTTCTAGTTTGAGTTCCAAGGCTTGGAGGGACATTGGGCACACTTTGGCTCTTATAAAAGAGTTTACGCCCCAAGGTGTTCTTGGGCGGTAAACTCTCGAATCTTGCTGTTTTGCTATGATTTTAATGTTATTAAACACAATCTAAGCTATATAATACAACTAGATAGAAGTACTCACGATTTGAGATGAAAACCCGAAGATCCGTGAGAGAGAAAATGGCTTTTCTCTAGTTGGAAATGTAACTAATGAATAAATATGGCTCAGATTTCTATATACAGTCCCGGGATTTTTGGTAGAAAATATTTTATTCCCGAAATGAACTCTAATATCATAGAGTTTTGGAATAACAGTGTTGCACAAAACCCTAGTGCATCCACTCTCCTGATATCTCCTTAAGTGTAAATCCTGAAAAACTGTCAAACTTATACCCAAAAGTCTGGAACTTAATTGTAACTATTCTAACTTCTATTGACTTGATATGGTTTGTACATAATGGAAATTTCGGGTTGTCACATCATCCCCCTGTTAAAGGGAATTTCGTCCCGAAATTAGAATTTAGGTAAGGAAGTAGGTATGAATAATCGAGTCATAAGGTGGGAACTTCCTAATCGATTGGTTCTTGCGCTCCTAAGTGAAATCGGGTCCTCG